TGGGGGTGTGGTGGGTGGGTGGGTGGGGGGGGGGGGGGGGGGAGGTTGGCCAGCCGAAGCACCGTCCCAGTGGCCCCTCCCACGCGGGCACTCCCTGCCCGAGCCCGGGAGGCCGGAGAAACTGGCCACAGCGCCCACGGTAGGCAGGATCCCTTCAGCTTACAGGGAGAGCGCCTGCTTGGAAACGGCTTTCCCTTTCCGCAGAGTGAGGTAGACCCTTGCGCTACCTGGGGGGGGGGATTTGACATTCTGGTGGGGACAGGTGTGCTCAGTCCCCACGGTCCCCCAAACGGCTGCCTCTGTACCTTGTGGTGTCCCCTCCCCCCGAGGGGCTTCCCTGTGGAGGCCGGCCCCCCCCAGCATCCCTTGGCATCATAATAAGCACGCTTTAGGGAAAGGTAACTTTATTAGAGCTGAAAGGTGCATAACATGGTCACTGTTCAGAATGGGGCATACAGGCAATGGCTAAGCATATCCGTGCCCTTCCTGGCTCATTAAAGCGGGCCATGAGGGGTTTCGAGGAGCTCTTAGGGAGATTATCAACAAGTCTCTCACCGAGGGACGATTCCCGGGAGCTCTCAAGGAGGCGATGGTCCGCCCTCTCCTGAAAAAACCAACTCTGGATCCAGCCAAATTGGCCAGCTATCGGCTGGTTTCCAATTTGCCCTATTTGGGCAAATTGATTGAGAGGGTGGTGGCGGCACAGCTTCAGGGTTTTCTGGATGATGCTTCTACTCTTGATCCCTTCCAGTCCGGCTTTCGCCCAGGTCACGGGACGGAAACGGCGTTGGTCGCTCTTACTGACGACCTCCGTAGACACCTGGATCGAGGTGGTTTGGGGATGCTGCTGTTGCTAGACCTGTCGGCTGCGTTCGACATGGTGGCTTGGCTCTTTTCGCCAGGGTCGGGAACAAAGGGTGGTGCTTGGGGAACAGCAGTCCAGGAGGCGCCCCCTTGAGTGTGGCGTACCCCAGGGCACAGTTCTGTCCCCGATGTTGTTTAACATCTTTATGCGCCCCCTTGCACAGGTGGCTCGGAAGTATGGGTTGGGCTGTCATCAGTACGCTGATGACACCCAGCTCTATCTGATGTTGGGTGGCCAGTCGGATTCCAGACCAGAGGATCTGGACCAGGCGTTACAGGCCGTGGCTGGTTGGCTTTGGCTGAGCCGGTTGAAGCTAAATCCGGTGAAGACGGAGGTCCTGTGCCTGAGTTGTGACGGTGCAGGGTTGGAGGCCCCGCTCCCGACCTTCGATGGGGCACTGCTAGTGCCAGCGCCGGAGGTTAGGAGTTTGGGGGTGCTCCTGGATGCCTCCTTGACAATGGAGGTCTAGGTAGCGGCCACTGCCAAATCGGCCTTTTACCATCTTCGGCTGGTTCGGCAGTTGGTTCCCTTCCTTGACCGCCGCGACCTGGTGACAGTGATCCATGTGACGGTCACCTCGAGACTTGACTACTGTAACGCTCTCTACATGGGGCTGCCCTTGTCTCAAATCCGGAAGCTGCAGCTAGTGCAGAATGCCACGGCTAGGCTGCTACTGGGCTCTCCACGGTGG